TTCAGGTCTGATCATGTCAGTGCCCTGTTCTCAACTCTAATGGTTTCCTGTTTACCCTCCAGATAAAATCCAGTCTTCATCATAGCCTACAAGACTCTTACATAACCTGGTTTCTATCTTTCAAGTATTACTTCCTACCATTCTCCTCCTCATTATGTTTTAGCTACACTGTCCTTGCTTTTCTCTTGGAAAAGTTACATGAGTTCTAGATTAATTACTTCAATCTTCCCATGTGTAAAAGAATATTGTATAACCTATTTGAATACTCAGAGGTAGCTACAGCTTCAACAGAGAATGATAAATTTGCTCTTATTGTTGAACTCATATTTGAGAAATTTTCAATGGCCTGCTTTTATGGGATTTGCAATTTTTTCTACCAGTTAAAAAAGATAAACATTGTTATTTAAAAATCGCATCTCTGATAGTGATCTTGCTGTTGTGCTTTCCTAAGAATAGATAAGAAGCCCATCAGCAGTAAGTTTTATTTATGTTTCTATCCTGACTGAACTCAGAATATCAGAACATGGTTATCTTTTGATGGAGTTTGGATGTGTTGTCCCCTCCAAAACTCATGTAGAAATTTGATCCCCAATGTGGCAGTGTTGGAAACTGATTGAGTCATGGGGGTGGATCCCTGATGAATGGATTAATGCTCTCCCTGGGGGAGGGGGGATTAATGAGTGAGTTCTCACTCTATTAGTTCCCGGGAGAGCTCGTTGCTTAAAAAGACCCTGGCACCTTCTCTCTCTCTCCCTTGCTTCCTCTTGCCATGTGATCTGCTTGTACCCACTGGCTCCCTGCCACTTTCCACCATGCGTAGAAGCAGCCTTAGGCCCATGCCAGATGCAGCTGTCCCAGAATCGTAAGCCAAATAAACCTCTCTTCTTTATAAATTAGCCAGTCTCAGGTATTTCTGTTATAGCAACACGAAACGGACTAAAACATCTTTCCAGGACACCCGATGCACTTGACAGTGTGATAATTTATTACGCCACTATTTAACCTTATAGTGTTTACTGATTGATTCTTGTCTGCTCAAGTGGTTGTGATCCTTTAAACCACAGGAACCATTTTTTGAGCTTTTCTTTATCTGGCATATATTAAGTGCTCAATAAGCACCTTATGCTCAATAGGCATAACTGTTGTTGATTGTATAAATTCATAAGGTATACCTTTTAAATTTGGGGTTGTGAAATATAATACGTTAACATAGAAAAGTACATGTCAAGGGTTCAGATCTGCGTACTGGCCAGCTAGAAAAAAGTACGTAAATATATCTATAGTTTGTTGAATAATTGAACAAAGTTTTGGGATAATCGTTTCCCTTTGTTTCTTTATTCTTTTTACTACCTCTGTAAACTCTCCTAAGCAATATATTCGTTTTCCTATTTTTTAACTCTTCTAAATGGATTATACAAATATTCTTGCTCCAACACTATGTTTCTGAGATTTATTCATGTTGTTTCTTTCATGTAGTCTTTGCTGTGTAGTTTCCTATTGCATACCATGAGTATACCAAAATTTATTTATTCATTATATTATTGTGAGACATTTGGATTGTTTTAAGTTACCTATTTGATTTAGCCATCCTAAATGATTGGTAGACATTTGGATTGTTTACAGCTTCTGACTATTAACAACAATGCAGCGGTCAAAATTCAACAGGTGCCCTGTGTGTGAGTTTTTCTAAAATATATATCTAGGAGTAGAATCAGTGGTATTGGCTAGGAGTGGGTCATAAAGTATTCAGATCTTCAATTTTATTTTTTTATTTTTATTTATTTATTTTTTTTGTCTTTTTCGTGACCGGTAAGGGAATCTCAACCCTTGGATTGGTGTCGCCCACACCGCACTCAGCCAGTGAGCGCACCGGCCATTCCTATATAGGATCCGAACCCGCGGTGGGAGCGTCGCTGCGCTCCCAGCGCAGCACTCTCCCAAGTGCGCCACGGGCCGGCCCCAGATCTTCAATTTTAATAGATAATGCCAAAATATTTTAAAAATGGATTCATTATTTTATACTTCATATTTTCACCAACTCTTGGTACTGTCAGACTTTTTGATTTTTTGCCTATTAGTAGAGATATAGTGATATTTCATTGTGGTTTTAATTTGCATTTCCCTGATAAGTAATGACACTGAGCACTTTTCATTGTTTTCTGGCTATCTGGATTTCTCTCAGGAATTGACTTTTTAGGTCTTTGCCACATTTAAAAAATTGTCTGTATTATTGATTTGTAGTTGTGTTGGGGGTCCCCAAGATAACCCTCACATTCAATGGTTTGCTAAAAGGACTAACAGGATTTAGCATATAATTGTATCCATAGCTAAGATTTATTACAATGAAAGGATACAAAACAAAGTCAGCAAAAGGAATTGAAAGCTTCCGGGAGTCCTCTTCCAGTGAAATCACACAGGACGTGCTTAATTTCGCCATAATGTGTTGTGACAACATGTGGAAAGTGTTGTCTACCAGGGAAGCTCATTAGAGACTCAGTGTCTGAGGTTTTTATTGGGGATTGGTCACATAAGCTCACTCTTCCCAGCACCAATGGTCAACTTTACAGGTAGGCCTTTCTAAGGATAGGCAGTCTCGGGCCTACTATGTTAACTCTTTCCTGCACTGCCGGAGACCAGCTCCAGTCTAGTTTGCAAGTCCTTGAAAGAGGGATGAGGAAGCCAGCGAAAATAAAAAACATAGACAGAGACCTCAGTGCATCAGTATGCATGTTCTCTCTCTGAGGGCTGTCAGCGTGTTGCAGCTGGAGCACAGTAGAGCATGAGACAATGCCTTTTATTTAGTTTTTTCTCTGCAGGGGTTTTTTGGCTACTATTTTTTATTACATCAGCAAGCTTAATAATTCAAAAAGGACAGGGGAAGCCAGTTTTTTTTTCTTCGTTAGCATGTCTCAAGTGATAAGATTGTGCTTCCTCCTTTTGGTATCAGGTTATCAGATTGGGACCGTGTTCTCATTGTCCTGACGTTAACCTGTGACCTTTTCCGGTTGGCAAGCTGTGGTTAATATCTACCCTATTAACAGGGTGGGACTATTGCAGTTGCAAAGTGATAGACAGTACTATCATATGGCCTATGTCTATTGAAATTTGTTAAAAGGAACAATGTTAACATTTAAATTCTAATGGGGGTGTATTGGTTTTATGTTTTAATGGAATGAACCTACTGTTCATATGGAAAATGAGGGGATAATTTTGAATTGTCCAATTTACTCGGATCCTCTGTGGGAATGTTTAGTTTGATGACTGTATAATTATTTGTGTTATTTTTATAATCTTTTGGGAATTCAGAGAACTGCCACGCTAACCAAAATATCGAAAGAGAAGGCAAAAGCCACAAAGCCGAGGCAGGCAGCCCTTCTGTTTGCAGCAAGTGCTCGTAGTTGAGGCCTTGCCAGCAGCTCTCCCTCCAGTGGCCTTGCCAACTTGGAGAGGGCAGCCCAAGCTGACTCCTTTAGGGTACTGCCATGACATGGACCACGCCACTGCACAGTAGGAATTTTGTATATATTCAGGATTCTAGGCCCTCATAAAGTTATACACGCTGCAAATATCTTCTGCTGTGCTGCTTCATCTTTCATTCTCTTTATAGTAGCTTTTGATGAACAGATGTTTCTATTTTTAATATAGCCAAACTATTATTTTATTCCTTTTATTATTAGTATTTCTTGTCTTACTCAAGAAATCCCTCCCTTCTCTGAAGTCATGAGGATATATACCTTTAATGTTTTATAAAATTTTATAATTTTGCCATTCACATTTTATGTCTGTAATCTACCTGGAATTGAGTTTTAATGGATAGTATAAAGTTGAGAGCTAGTTTTATTTTTCCCCCATATATATAACCAGTTCTCCCAGCATAAAAGACTGTTATCTCCCCACTGCTGTGCAATGCAAACTCTGTCATGTATCAGATAATCATACATGTATGGCTCTAGAAATTCTTTTCTGTTCCATTAGTCTGTCTATCTCTATCTTAGTTACTGTAGATCTATTGTAAGTTTTGATATGCGATTGAGCTGTTTCTCTTTATTATTCTTTTCTGGGAGTGCTTGGCTATTCTAGGCCCTTTGTACTTCTATATATACTTTAGAATCAGTCAGTCAAATTCATTAAAAAATTGGATTTTTTTTTTGAACTGGGATTACATTAAATCTATAAATCATTTTGCGGATAATTCTTATCTTTATATTGATTCTTATAATTAATCAACATGATTCATCTCTTTATTTAGGTGTTCCTTAACTTTAAATTATATACAAATAAAGTTTATAAATGTTATCCATAGAGTCCTTCCACAGTCTTTGGATAGATTTATTCTTAGGTATACAGTATTTTATAATTCTATTTTAAGTGGTATCTTTTTTTTTTTTTTTTTCCTTTTTGTCTTTTTTCGTGTCCGGCAACGGATTGCAACCCTCAGTGTCGCGCCCGTACCGGACCAGGACCGGCAAGGGATCACAAACCTTGGTGCTGCGCCCGCACCTCGCTCAGCCAGTGAGCGGGAACCGGTCTGTATGTGGGATCCGAACCCTTGGTGGGAGCGCCACCGCGCTCCTAAGCGGCACACTGCAGCAGTGCGCCACCGGGCCGGCCCTAAGTGGTATCTTTTAAAAAAATTTTTATTGTCTGATGCTGGATAAGGATTGTATTAAAACTCAAATTGTACCAGGGCCAGCTACCCAAACTAACACATGAAAAAATATAGAAGCGTTACAATGTAAATCGTGTCCTCAAAAATTACATGGATTGTTTGGGTGGTAGAATTAGAAATAGGTAACAGGAAAATCATGTCTTTGTTTCATAAGTGGGCCTTAATAAATGACTGTACTATAGGTTCACAATAGTAGATTAATTTTAATGAATAGCATAAAATTAGACATAACAATTGAATTTCTGACAAGGAATGCTACTATATTGTATTATGAGTCTAGTCTATTAGCATTACTAAACCTTCTGATGTGTGTCTCTTTTATTTAACTCAGGTGAAAAGGATTCGATGATTTTTGACTGTACTGAATGCTATGATCCAGTTACTAAACAGTGGACAACTGTAGCTTCAATGAATCACCCCCGTTGTGGCTTGGGAGTATGTGTGTGTTATGGGGCTATCTATGCTTTGGGTAATTATGCTATTCAGTTTAAGGATAGCTGATATTGTTTAAATTCTTAATTTGATTACTTTAAAGATGTTCTTTCCCTTCCATAAGAAATGTGTATCTTTTCAGCTCTGTGAATTCTTCTCAAAATTGCATTAGTTGGGGAACATTGTAAGGAGATGGAGATAAAATATAGATGAGGGTATATATATATATATATATATATAGATGAGATGTCCATTGAAGCACTTCAGCTGACTAATTAAATCTCATTATTTTAAGTGTATAACATTTCTACCACTCTGTTTAGTGGCCTAAGTATGACTCATATAAGAAAGCACATATATAAGGGCTGGCCTGTGGCTCACTCGGGAGAGTGCGGTGCTGATAACACCAAGACCACGGGTTCGGATCCTATATAGGGATGGCTGGTTAGCTCACTGGCTGAGCGTGGTGCTGACAACACCAAGCCAATGGTTAAGATCCTCTTACCGGTCATCTTTTTTTAAAAAAAGAAAGTACGTATTAAAAAAATTAAAGATACCAAAAGGAACTTTTGTACTATATTATTATTATTGAAGATTTAGTGAATGATCTTGAGCAAGTTATTCTACTTCTTTGATTATCTGTGTAACAGATGTTACAGGCAGGGTTACTCCTTGGGAAAATTGTAAGTTGACATGACCCCCTTGTCACTCCATCATTCACTGTGTGGTACTCAAGTGTCCTCCTCTCATCAAAACCTATCGTTTTTAAAAAAATATCAATTATCGGGCCGGCCCGTGGCTCACTCGGGAGAGTGCGGTGCTGATAACACCAAGGCCACGGGTTCGGATCCCATATAGGGATGGCCGGTTCGCTCACTGGGAGAGCGTAGTGCTGACAACACCAAGTCAAGGGTTAAGATCCCCTTACCGGTCATCTTTTAAAAAAAAAAAAAAAATCAATTATCCCAATGTGAATTTCATCCATTACATTTTATCACTCCCATTAAGTATTTGCATTTTGCAGTTATACCTTGAATTGTGGGAAAGAACATTATCAATTTAAAAAATTGGAGACTGTAAAGAAATGTTATTTTGGCCTTCTTGAAGTTCCTGAAATCACACTAAAAAGACAGTGTATTCTCATTAGTCTTAGAGCTGGCCTTGATTGAGATAACCATTCTAAATATGCAGAAGTCGTTTCAAAAGGTAGTTTTGCAAAATACTGTATTTCCATGTAAGATTTTGAAGTTTTGTTTTTGTTTTGTTTTGTTTTACTCTCTAGTGAAGACTAGACAGGGAGTTAAAAGATGTGAGTTTTACTCCTGGTCAAATTCTGCCTTTTCATGGGATCTTAGACAAATAACCTCTCTGGTCCATGTGATACTCAGCCATGATATGAAGTAGTTGGATTAGATGTTTTCTAAGGTCTTTATCATAAATAATTTTCTTTTATCCCAGAAATAAACATTTTCCTGTTTGGTTACAGGTGGATGGGTTGGAGCTGAGATAGGGAACACCATTGAACGATTTGATCCTGATGAAAATAAATGGGAAGTAGTTGGCAACATGGCTGTGTCACGCTATTACTTTGGGTGCTGTGAAATGCAAGGTAATCCCTTTATAAAATATTTCTTCTCAAAATATATTTGAGTGTCAGGCATTATCTTAACAAAATTATATTTTTGGTCTGTTAGTATTGAATGATTGACACTAGCAGTATAGAGGTTCTGCTTTTTACCTCTAATATAATTGACTTTTATTTCTGTATTGCCAAAATAATTGATTTTTTTCAAAATAAACAGAACTAGAATTAAAAATTCCAGATAAGCAGAAATACCTGGCCAGCAAAATAAGTGTTTAAAATGTCATTCATTATTGTCATTTTCTCTCCCATGAACGCTTGAGTATTTCTAAGGAGAGTATCAAAAGCAATTTTCACAGTCTCTACTTATAGGCTTCTTTAGTGGTTTTTTTTGCACAATATGTTGTGATTCAGTCCACACATATAATCCTGTGATAGATTTGAAAAATGCTTTGCTGCATATTAAAGTGGTGCATGGACATTATTTTAATCGTCTACCACACTCTGAGAAGTAGGTAGTAAACCCTGTCAAATAGAACCTGATTCTCTGTCCAGGGCTGGAGAGTAGATTTGTATGGGCCTGTGGAGTAGGAAGTAACCTGTCCATTGTTTTTGACAGCTCAGTCTGCTGTTTCCAGCTCAAGTTCCTTCTGCTTTGTAGGTACCTTCTCCAATTTCTACTAGCATATAAATGTTCAAATTACACGATGCAGACTATATATATATATATATATATTTTTAAAGATGACCAGTAAGGGGATCTTAACCCTTGATTTGGTGTTGTCAGCACCACGCTCAGCCAGTGAGCGAACCGGTCATCCCTATATAGGATCCGAACCCGTGGCCTTGGTGTTATCAGCACCACACTCTCCCAAGTGAGCCATGGGCCGGCCCTACACAATGCAGACTATATTTTATTGTTTAATATTATAGTGTTGTCTAGTTTTTTTTTAATTTATTATTTTTATCTTCCCATCTAAAATCATACAGCTAGAGAGTGATCTTGGAAATTATCTATTTTGACTCCCTTAATTTATAGATGAGGAAGCTAAAGATCAGGAAAGTTATGAGTTGTTTTTTCTCATAGCTGGTAACTGGCAAAGCTGGAGCTAGAACCCAAGTTTACTAACATTTAGCCCATGTTTCTTAAAATATCACTCTTAATAACTTATAACTTCTCATTTTAGAGCATGGGAAACAACACTAGAGACTCAAAAAAAGTTGTAGATTGTCAGAACCATTAGATTCAAATCAAATTTAATAAGAAACTCTGTAAACTACATTCTATCGTACTCTAGTAATTGATCCTGATACCTTAACCTTAGCCATATAATATTCTAATTTAAATTCGCTTATTTTATTTTATTTTATGTCCATCAGTAACAGGTAGGCTGTCACCAAAGAGAGCCATATTGTTCCCATTTTAAGTGCATGTCATTTTTTAGGGAATAAATCCGTGTCCCTTTCCTTTTTTATCTATGACTGGTAGCAATGGATCTGGTACCTGAGATCAGCAAGCAGACAATGAGATATCCTTGTCTGACAAATTATTTGTTATGATATCATTATGCTGTTTGAAAATTCAATGCCACTTTAAATTAATACCCCTAATTTTTTGCAACATGCTTAAATGTGAGTTGTGATAAACTAGGCAGAGGTTGATTTTGTCTCTCAATATTGTAAGTTCTAGATAAATATAGCATCAGCATAGCAAACATAAATCACAACTATTACTTTTCATCATTGTTTATCCTATGTTCTATAGTATCTGAGCAAAAATATTCCATTTCCAGGTTTAATTTATGTAATTGGGGGCATCAGCACTGAAGGAATAGAGCTTCGTTCTTTTGAAGTTTATGATCCACTTTCCAAGCGTTGGTCTCCACTTCCTCCAATGGGAACCAGGAGAGCTTATCTTGGCGTTGCTGCACTCAATGACTGCATCTATTCTATTGGAGGGTGGAATGAGACACAAGATGCTCTTCATACTGTTGAAAAGTATTCCTTTGAAGAGGTAGGTTGGATGATTTCAAATGTTTAGTATCCTGGTATTCTTTTGATGTCTGTAAGATCTGTAGTGATGTGTTCTCTTTCATGATATTGATCATTTATGGGTTTTTTTTTTCTTTTCAAAGAACCAACTTTTGGTGTCCTTAGTTTTCTATTGATTGTCAATTTTCTATTTCATTGATTTCTGTTCTTATTTTTTCCTTCCTCCTATTTGTTTTGGATTTAGTTTACTATTCTTTTTCTAGATTCTTAAAATGGAAGCTTACGTGATTGATTTTAGACCTTCCTTTTTCTATGATATAAACCTTTAAAGCTTTAAATTTTCTTCAAGCATTGCTTTAACTGCATTCCACACATTGTAATATGTTGTGTTTTAATTAGCATTTATCTTTAAATATTTTCTAATTTTCTTGGTAATTTCTTCTTTAACCAATGGGTTGTTAGAAGTATGTTATTCAGGGATGGCTGGTTAGCTCAACTGATTAGAGCAGAGTGCTGATAATACCAACATCCAAGGTTTGATCTCAATACCAGCCAGTGCCAAAAAAAAAAGTATGTTATTTAATTTAAAAATATGTAGGGATTTTCCAGATATCTTTTTGTTATTGATTTCTAATTTAATTCCACTGGGATCAAAGAACATGTTTTGTTTTGTTTCTATCTTAGTAAATGGTTCATGTACACCTGAAAAGAATTTGTATTCTGCTGTTATTAGACTGTGTTGTTCTAATGTCTATTAGATTAAATTGGTTTTTAGTTTTGTTGTTATTGGTTTTTTTTTTTTTTTAAAAGATGACCGGTAAGGGGATATTACCCCTTGACTTGGTGTTGTCAGCACCACGCTCAGCCAGTGAGCGAACCGGCCATCCCTATATGGGATCCGAACCCGTGGCCTTGGTGTTATCAGCACCGCACTCTCCCGAGTGAGCCACGGGCCGGCCCCTGTTATTGGTTTTTTGTTTGTTTGTTTTTTGGTGGCTGGCCAGTATAGGGTTCCGAGCCTTTTGACCTTTGTGTTATAACACCCTGCTCTAACCAACTGAGCCAATTGGCCAGCGGGATTTTAGTTTTATTCAGGTTTTCCCTGGTCTGTCTGATGTGTCCAGTTGTTCTGTCAGTTGTTAAGAAAGGACTGTTGCAACCTCCATCTGTGATTATGGATTTGTCTCTTTTTCCTTTTATTTCTCTCAGGTTTTACTTCACATATTTTTTTTTTTAAAGATGACTGGTAAGGGGATCTTAACCCTTGACTTGGTGTTGTTAGCACCACGCTCAGCCAGTGAGCGAACCGGCCATCCCTATATGGGATCCGAACCCGGGGCCTCGGTGTTATCAGCACCACATTCTCCCGAGTGAGCCACGGGCCGGCCCTTTAAATGGTTTTTAAAGTTTATATTATTTTTATTTAATGTAATTACAGGTATGGTTGGTTTTATACTCCCATGTTGCTATTTGTTTTCTATTTGTAAAGTCCATTCTTTGATCCTTTTTTCTCCTTTTAGTCTTTATTTTGATTGTTTTATTATTCCACTTTATCTTTTTTATTGTCTAATTAGCTATATCTCTTACTTTTTTTCTTAATGATTGCTTTAGGATTTACATTATATATATAATATATATATATATATATATATATTTTTTTTTTTTTTGGCAGCTGGCTGGTTCAGGGATCCAAACCCTTGACCTTGGTGTTACCAACACCATGCTCTAACCAAGTGAGCTAACTGGCCACCCACATTATGTATTTTCTTTTTTTTTTTTAAAGATGACCAGGAAGGGGATCTTAACCCTTGACTTGGTGTTGTCAGCACCACACTCTCCGAAGTGAGCTAACCGGCCATCCCCTATATAGAGATCCGAACCCTTGGCCTTGGTGTTATCAGCACCACACTCTCCCTAGTGAGCCATGGGCCGACCCTACACATTATGTATTTTCAATGCATCAAATCTACCTTCAAATAATATCATACCACTTCACTTGTAATGTAAAAAACTTACAAAAATATACTTTCATTTTCCCCTCCCATCCTGTATTAGTCTGTTTTGTGTTGCTATAACAGAAATACCTGAGACTGGGTAATTTATAAGGAACAGAGGTCTCTTTGGCTTATGATTCTGGGACAGCTGCATCTGGCACAGGCCTCAGGCTGCTTCTGCTCATGGCAGAAAGTGGCAAGCAGCCGGTGGGTATAAAAAGATCACATGGCGAGAGGAAGCAAGAGTTGGGGGGGGAGTACCAGGGTCTTTTAAACAACCAGCTCTGGGCCAGCCTGTGGCTCACTTGGGAGAGTGTGGTGCTGATAACACCAAGGCCGTGGGTTCGGATCCCTATATAGGGATAGCCGATTTGCCCACTTGGGAGCACATGGTGCTGACAACACCAAGTCAAGGGTTAAGATCCCCTCACTGGTCATCTTTCTAAAGAAAATGAATAATAAATAAATAAACAACCAGCTCTCACAGGCACTAATAGAGTGAGATCTCACTTAGGCCCCCCACCCCCAGGGCGAATATTAATCCATTCATGAGGGGTCCACCCCCATGACTCAAAAAGCTCCCATCACTGCCACACTGGGGATCAGATTTCCACATGAGTTTCGGTGGGGACAAAATATCCAAACTCTATCACATCCTTTGTGCTACTTTGTACATTCTACTTCTATATATATCGTAAACCCCATGATATGTTGTTATATTTAAACAATTTTATACTGTATTAAAATTTTTTTTTAATGAGAAAGTCTTTTGTAATTACCCATATGTTTACTATTTCTAGTTCTGTTTATTCTTTTGTGTAGAATTGAATTTCTATTTCATATTATTTTCTCTTTGCCTGAAAAACTTTATTTTTTTTTTTAGTGCAGGTCTACTAGCAATGAAATCTCTTAGCTTTTATTTTCTGAAACTGCCTTTTTTCCCACCTTCAGTTTTGAAAGATATTTTGCTGAGTGTAGAATGTTAGATTGACTTTCTTTTCTTTCAGTACCTTAAAAATGGTCTTTTGGCCAGCCCATGCCTCACTTGGCAGTGTGTGGTGCTGATAACACCAAGGTCAAGGGCTCGAATCCCTGTATAGGGATGGCCGGTTAGCTCACTTGGGAGAGTGTGGTGCTGACAACACCAAGTCAAGGGTTAAGATCCCCTACCAGTCATCTTAAAAAAAAAAAGATGGTCTTTAATTTCTTCTTGCATTCTTTCTGATGAGAAGTCAGTAGGGATTTTTATCTTTGTTCCCCCATACACAATGTGTCTTTTTTCCTTGGCAGCTTTTAAGATTTTTTTCTTTATCATGGGTTTTCAGTAGTTTGATTATGATGTGTCTTGTTGGAGTTGTGTGTTTAACCTGCTTGAAATTCATTGAACTTCTTGAATCTGGGGATTATAGATTTCATCAAATTGGAATGTTTTCTGCCATATTTTAAAAATTATTCTGCTTTCTTTTGGGGACTCCAATTATATGTATGTAGGACCACTTGATATTGTCTCACAGTCACTGAGGCTCTATTAAATTTTTTCCAGTCTTTTTTATCTCTGTTCTCCAGTTTGGATAGTTCCTTTTGCTCTGTCTTCAAGTTCATTAATTTTTTTTTTTTTTTGTCTTTTTTTTTGTGACCGGCAAGGGGTTCGCAACCCTTGGTGTGGTGTTGCCCTCACCACACTCAGCCAGTGAGCGCACCGGCCAGTCCTATATAGGATCCGATCCCGCAGCAGGAGCGCTGCTGCGCTCCCAGCACTGCACTCTCCTGAGTGTGCCACGGGGCCGGCCCAAGTTCATTAATCTTATACAGTGTCTAAACTTCTAATTTGTAGGGTCTAATCCCATCTACGGAATTTTTTATTTCAGATCTTATATTTTTTAGTTCTTTTCTCATTATATTCACATTTTCCTTTAGATCCTTGAACCTGTTAATATGTTTTAAGTCTTTGTCTCCTAATTTCATCATCTCTGTAATTTTTGGCTCTGTATTGGTTGACTTTTTGTCTTGCTGGTTTGAGTCATTTTTCCTGCTTCTCCATATTTCTAGTAACTTTTGACTGGATGCTAGAGAGTGTGAATGTTATGTTGTGACTGTTTGGATTTTGTTTTCTTCCTTTAGGAGGTGTTGAGTTTAGTTTTGGTAAGCAATTCCATTATGTGTAAATGAGGTTGATCCTTTTGAGACTTGTTTTCTTTTTTTTTTAAAAGATGACTGGTAAGGGGATCTTAACCCTTGACTTGGTGTTGTCAGCACCACGCTCACCCAGTGAGTGAACTGGCCATCCCTATGTGGGATCCGAACCTGGGGCCTTGGTGTTATCAGCACCGCACTCTCCCAAGTGAGCCACGGGCCGGCCCATGAGACTTGTTTTTAAACTTTGTAGGGAAGGTCTAGAGTAGTCTTTCCTTTTTTTTTTTTTTTGTCCTTTTTGAGACCAGCCGCACCGCGCTCAGTCAGTGAGCGCTGTGAGTGAACCGGTCATCCCTATATAGGATCCGAACCCGTGGCGGGAGCGCTGCTGCGCTCCCAGCGCTGCACTCTCCCGAGTGCACCATGGGCTCAGCCCTAGAGTAGCCTTTCCTTTAAGCCTACTTCCTTTAGCTCTGCTACTAAAGCATGACTCCTCTTGGGTCTCTACTGAATGCCCCAGGTGTTCAACAAGGTCTCTTCACTTTGGCTGGTCAGAACTTGAATAGGTCAGCCTTGTGTGAGGTCTGGTATTGTTCAGATGTCATCTCCTCCCATTAGTTGTTATTTGCCTGTTTTCATGGAATCTCACCATATGCATACACAAATTAGTGGTATTCAGCCAAAGATTCAAGGGGACCTCTATCCTCTGTCACTGTTCCTTGCAAATCTCAGCTGCTTCAATCTCTCTAGAACTCTGATCTGTGTCTCCTAAATTGGCTATCATGTTCAGCTTTGGATCCCCTTCCCTGTACTGCTATTCAGAAAACCCCTCCAGGCATGAAGCTTAGACAACCATGGAGCTCACCTTGTTTGTTTCTTTTTCTCAGAGATTACA